TTTCCCAAAAAGTGGCATTATGTGTTTCTTTACTTACAGTGTGGATGGCCAGGTTAGGGGTTTAAAAAGGCCAGATTACATTGGTGTTAAAAACAATGATCCAGGTTGGGGGAATTGCCTGCTTCGGGTTTGGAAAGATTAAAAGGTTTTCACTTCTAAAACCTTTCTAAAACCTGTTGGGTTGGGCCCATCATATGGAAACCTGCTCTATCGAAATCAGGGGTTCCTGGGCATTGGACCATTTACCAACATTTGGGAGTGTTGGTATACCCAACAAGCTGGAAAAAAGAGGGAGTTCCTAGCTTCTATGGATAATCCAGGGATTTGGGTTGTTTTTACTTCCAAAATATTAAAGCCGGAAAATAATGGTTCAATCCATGTATTAATGACTGTCCAACCGGTCATTTTTTCCCATTTGAGAAAAAAAAAGGCCTTCAAAAGTTTTCTCTTCTCCTGGGAATCAATCGAATCTGGATTGGATAATTTAGGGGGCAATAATATTCCAAAATTTTACTTACGGGGAGGGGGAAGGATATTTTCCCCAATTTGGGGAATTACTGGGGTTTTCTGGGGAGCCTCGCGGGAAGTGTGTGTGTGGTGTTGTATACGTGGGTTGTTGGGTGTGGGGTTATTTTGGCGTTTTGTGGTGTATTTTGCGTTTGTTCCCGGAAAAACCTCCCCACGAGGAAAACCACCGGCTGGTTGGGTTATGGCCTTGCGTGAGCGTTAAAGGTTACCTCCGTTTCTTCCGGCTTTGTAATTTATGGGCCGGGTACAGGCAGGCCATAAACCCAAACAAAGCCTCGTTTGTTTTCCTCCGGGTGGAAGGTTTTCCCCGGGGAATAAAAAAAACGGGGCAATACCCACACATAAACGGCAAAAAAATCACCCAAACACAACAACACACCCGTAACAAACACCAAACCAAAACACACTCAACTTCCGCGAGGGGGGCTTCCCCCCCCAGGGGACCAAGTAATTCCAAGAAAAAAATTATTTCTTTTCCCTCCCGTAGTTTTATTTTGATAAATTTGGCTTTAATAATCCATATAATCAGGGATTTCCGATGGGGGTTTTCCAAAAAGAGAAAGGAGAACTTGGAAGGGGCCTTTTTCTTCAAAAATTATGCCTCGGGTGGACAGTCCATTTACATTGTACATATTTCCGGCTTAATAATTTGGGGGTAAACAAAAACATCCTGAACCAATAGGGAAAACTAGGGGAATCTCCTCTTTTCCAGGGGTGTGTATACCCCATTCCAAAAAATTGTTGTTATCCGGGTTCCAATGCGGAACGGATTGTCGATATAAGCAAGGGTCACATATGGGGGGCATGCACCACCACGGGTTTAGATGTTATGGGAAGTGGACTTTAAAAATTCTTTCCCAAAAAAAAAAAACCCGAGGGCAGCATTCAAAAAACGATCCAGTTGTTACCACCCAAAAAATGTATTACTGGGGGCTTTTTATCTAACCTGGGGCATTTCACCACTGTTAAAGTAAAGGGACCAAATCATTTAATGCCACTTTTGGGGGAATACCTTTAGCAGGTTTTCGGGCTTCGTAAAAAAAAAAACTTGAGAGGTAAAAAGGTTACCAGCTTGAGTATTATGGGAATATTAAGGAAGGATGTTAGAAGTTTACTCCAGGTACCATAAGGAAAAAAAACCGGTCCAGTTGGCTAACCACTTAAGGAATTGGTAGGTTTATCTATTATTTACTGGAAAAAGGGCCTTCCAAATGGGGATAACATAAAAAACCAACTGGGGGGTAAAAAAACTTTCATTATTATTATTTACTTGGGGTATTCCAAGTTAAAAACAGGGCAGGGCCATAGGGAAATGACTTCGGTAATGGGGTCCTCTTGGGTTTCCCTCTGTTTAAGGGGGCTATTTGGGGCCAACAACTTTTCAGTTTAGAGGAAAAAAAGTGGGCCCCAAAACCCAACCTACCCGATATTGGGGTTTCAGGTGGTGCTGAAAAGGTGACAGGGTGGGGGGTGAAGTTGGTTTCGATTACAACGCTGGGACTTGAAGGCTGGAGTTCCTGGTCGTGGGAACCCAGCTGGCCCAAGGTAGAGGGGCAAAAAGGGGCAACCAAAAAGGAGGCTTTTGGTTTATCCAAGGTTTCTTAGGGAGAGTGGGTGAAAGGCCTATATACAATTTTTAATCTTTTCAAGGCATTTCGTATATACCTTTTTCTTTGGGGGTTAAGACAAAATTAAAGACAAAATGTTTGGGGATTTCAAATACAAATTGTAATTATAACCCAAATTATTACTCCTCTTCTGTCAAGGGGGTTGGGTTGGGAAATACTGGGTGAATTCTTTACACCATACCCCCACAATAAAGGTTGCCAGTCTGGTCAGGAGGGCAAGCTATTCTTTCAAGGTTAAAACCCTTGGGAATAATCCAGGAGGCGGGAGCAAGGGCCAGTTATTCCCAATTCCCCACACATAGGAATGGTGAAAGCCATTAAAAGGGGGATGTGAATTACAAAAGTTAATTCTTTCCCAAAACAAATTTAATCCCACGTTTTAGGAAACCAGGGTTTATTTTTAATTTTTCTGACAATGTCTGGTAAGATGTCTAGACCCATGGCCTGGGATGTCCCATTCATGGAGGTTAATGGGGAAGGACAGATGGATTTGGAGTTCGGGGGCCGGTTCCTCTGAGTGAAGACCTCATCATCCAGACCTTCCCCTTCAGTGTGGTCGTCCCGCTGCACTGGAGGCTCGTAACAAACTGCCAGCAGACAAGGGGAAAGCACACCATATAATGAGTGGAACCATATAATGGATGTCTTAAAATTGTGTTTCCATGTGAATGGCATCATCTATAAACACTCCTATAGGCCCATTTCTTTTACAGCTGACATTTAATACTAATAAGCAAAGCATCGATGGCTTCATTATATTCAAGTTTCAAGTGGGCTAGCATGCACAATGATAGGACCATCAGATCAAATAATGGAATTCGGGCCTTATGATAATTTAAAGGTCCCATGTCATGCTTTTCTGGTTATTACCCGTCCCCTTGTGTGTTATGAAGGTCTTTCTGCATGTAAACAGTCTGCAGAGTCAAAACCCTCAAAGTACACCCTGTAGCGAGTAAAACTCTAACACAGAAAAGACCTGTCTATGCTGCCCCAGAACGCCTCGTTGGACATTTCTCTTTTTCCATTGTTTTCTTCCTGGGTCGTAGTGACGCAAGGGTCTAAGTGACGTAACGGCTGCGCAGGTTGGTCCAAATGGACCAATCCGCGGACTTTCTCACACACGCACACTCACTCAGCCTTATCTTTTCTCAGCCGCAGCTCCGCGGGTTTCTCAGCCTGAACTCAGCCTGAGCACACACATAAATTCACAGCCAGGCTACGTGTGTGTGTGTGCTCAAGCTGAGTTCAGGCTGACAGGAAACCAGGAAACTACCCCAGTAATCCAGCTCACAATGTCCGCTCCAGCAGCGAGCCAGGCAACGTCCCGCCAACACGGCACCCAGACCCCACGCAGCATTCTCATCTGTCTGTCATTACTGGTGTCATTTTCTGGTTGCTAACAAACACCATTGTAACACATAATCACTGATGTTCCGCTGTAACGGTGGTGGACTCATCAGAACAGAGTGGGTGAGCTGACAAATCAGAGCACAGTGGGCTCATAGGGAGGGGGGGGGCAGGAGCTCCAACAAGCCGTTTAGGACAGAGAGTGAATACACATACTATACAGAGATGCTGTATGAGAAACCAATGTGAGTTTGGAAAATTGAACAATGTAAATCTATTCTAGTAGACCTAAAAAATGGAATTATGATCAGTAGAAATGGCCATGACATGGGACCTTTAAATCTGTTCTTTAAGAAAGTCAAATAAAATTCAGTAAAAGGCCTGCCGTTTATACTTTAAAAGTGTTTTCTATATTATGAGGATTACAAAACTATTGTTTAGAATGGTATAATAATTATCATCATCTGCCTTTTTTTCTCAGGGGTGGTACATGAGTACTTGTCTGCGGTGCTTTCAGATGTGTTGCACTGTCAGAGAGAGCCTCTCCCGCTCTGCCTGGCTCTGCTGCAGTACGATAAAGAGCTCGTGTCCACAGAACTCTCCGCTCCTCCTCATCCCTCCATCATACACCTTCATCAGTATTACTCCAAATGGCTTCCTCAGCAAAGCCGAGAGGAACTGGTCAGTATTTGGTGGAAGCAAGAGATTGTTTAACTGAAAGAGTGACATTCTTGTAATTCCCTACAATAACAACAACAATGCTGCTCTTTTGTTGCAGTTCAAATCCTCTGAACACCATTCAAAGGGATCCTCGACCCCCATTTCATTCAGCGCACTGATGGAGTCTGCATATAGCCAAGGTCCAAACGCTCTGCTAGAGGACGCATTCAGGAAGAATGTGGAAGGAACTCTAGCTTCAATGTTGATTGATGATTTTCCAGTAGCAACTAAGCAGATATTACTCTACATAAGATCAACAGTGGAAAACCTTGGCACGGTAAGAGCACAACAAACAAGATAACTATCGGTATATGACTGATTTGAAAATATACTCAACACATCTTGATCTTCTGCACAGTTCCCCAAAGACATAGGAACCGCCCCTCTGAAGACTTTAATGGGAATACTCCATGATTTGGTGAGCAAGCTACAAGGCTTACAGGAATCTGCACACTCTGAGCCAGCAGCAGCAGCAGCAGCAGCAGCAGCAGCAGCAGCAGCTGAGAACTCCCAGGAAGGATCAGACCTCTTCCTAGAAAGCAGCCAGTTGTCCACAGCAGAAGCCAATAAAGAGCAGGTGGGGAAAGGTTCACTGTTAACTATGGCTTTCATTGGATGGAAAATGAAAAATACTTTTTGTTCAATCTGTGACCAATGTTATAAGTTGATTTCTACTGATTTCCAAATGACTGATGCTTTTTTGGCCCCTCTGTGTTTAGGTCCTCTTTTCAGTCCTTGGCTCCATCTTCAAGCATCCGTGTTTGCAGCAGTGGTTTCTGGCTCTGGAGCTGGCTGCTCTGCCTCCTCACACTCTGAACCCTGTCAGGCTGAAGCACATGTGCTCTCAGCTGAATGATGACATTCTGACCTTGCTGAAGACATGCTCCCCTACTCTAAGTGATCTCGGTCACATGGAGCTCAGTTGTAGCTATATGGAGGCGATAGAGAAAGCTGTGCTCAAGGAACTGATGGAAAAGGGCTCCCAGACACCAAAGAAGCACTCTCGACCTTTCCAAGCCCTCCTGTCTCTTCACAGCTTCATGGACTCCTGCAACCTCAGAGAGGTGGTTTCCAAGTTGCTACTCCTCCCCCACGGGAGCCTTATCTCTCCTAGTAGTGAGGGCGCACAGGCCGAGCTGAGTGTCTATGGTCATGCAGCTCTGCTCATCCTCACAGAGTCTAAAGCTAACCCTTCCAAGGACCACGGCATCTTTCTGTCTCAGGCCCACCTCCATGGCCTGAGCACCCTGCTGCTGTCCTGCTCCAGCCACGCACTGGAGGCCTTCCTGCTGCAGACTCTGTCCACTGAGCCAGGCAGTGCTAAACTCATCCACACAGATGTGCTGCTGCACTGTCTCCAGTTTCCTCTCCCAGACTCCCTTTCCATTAGCTCTCTCCTGCTGCAGAACTGCTCCACACATCGCCTCTGCTTTGAAATGTGGTGTCTCGAGCCAGCAAACATGGAGAAGCTCTCAGAGCAGACGGAAACATTCCTTCCACTTATCAACACCTACCTGCAGGTGGCAAGAAGAGAGGATCCCGCCAGGCCACAAGAAGGTTTGTACTTAAACAAGTTCTCTTTTTTTACAAACAGCATCAATATTGAAGTCACTCTTTTGCCTTCTATTTACCGTTGTATATTTATTTACAAATGCTCCATTGCTGTGTTTTATAGTGCAAAAAGAGGTTGTAAAGGCTTTGAAGCAAGCGCTGCTGGCCAAACTGTCCCAATGTGTTCTGGGAAACCTGACTGAAGACTCTGGTGCCCAGGTGACTGAAACACTAGCCAATCTGATCAGGCTGTCAGCCAACATCAAGGACACTAAGAGCTTGATCAACACACTGCCCGATGCTCTTCAAAAAGTTGACAGTTTTGAAAGGTATTCATCAATTCAAAAACATTATACTAACTATGAGTGAATAATTGGTGTCACAAGGTATTAGCTAAATGTTTTCTCTTTCAGATGGCAACTAGTTGATGCTGTCACTGAGAAACTGGATGGTTGCCCAGAGGAACAAGACACCTGGAGGAAGTCAGTCACCACGGCTGCCCTCAAGTGTCTCATCGCGGCCTACAGTCATTCTAAAGATCTGGCTACTGCCCGTTTGGAGCAGGAGCACAGCATCCTGGAGAGACTGCAAGGACTGCTCGTGGGTTTATATTCATCACACTGTTTTTCCTCTACTGTTCATTTGATATTTTATTTCATGCATCATAATACGATTTCTTTACACAGACATCAGCTGAAGACATCGCTGCATCCGAATGGAACAGTTTTATCAAGAATGGACTGAAGTAAGATAATTGTTTCAATTCGGCTAGATGTTTGTTCGAGAGCTTCTCGTTAGATTTATTTTAATCAAATACTTAAAATATATTCTTCCCTGTAGATATCGGTACAGAGATCACCACTATCTGAACACTTTGAGCCACTTGTTGGGAGTGATGTACGGTGGCACTGAAGTCCAGAAGGACCTGATTCCTTTAACCACCCTTTACATGATGACAAGCAGCCATTCTCTGTTCCTGCCCACCATGTTGGAAGATGATGAAGAGCACAGCTGGTGTCAGGCTAAAGGTGTGTCTGGAGCTAAATAGAACAAAGAAAACACTACATTACAAAGCCTTATCCTTCAATTATTTATCTTATTACTTAACACTAACAAAATAATGTTGTTGTCATTTCAGAAGCGTTAGTGTCCCTACTTCTCTCTTTGGTGAAGAAATGCCCTGTTGTCTGTAACACCAATCAATTTGTCGTTCTTTTGGGAGCATATGGAGTTACCCTGAATAATTCAGGTAAAATCAAATCAAATCAATTTTCTGTTTATGTGGTAGTTGTCCTTCTTTCCTCTTACATCTTGTCTTTGTTTACAGATCAGAAACTATTACTGCTCCTTCAGGAATATGAAAGAAACGATGTCAGTCTGCTGAAATTTCAGTAAGTTACATTTATTTTGGTTTATTCTACACGGTACTTGTTTTTTTGCAATCGCTTATTTGTGTTTTTAACTGCAGATCCTTCCTGTGGGGCCCGGCAGCTGTGGAGCACCACAAGACCAGGAAAAGCCTCGGAGCTTCACTGTGGAAGCAAGAGAGCTTCGAGGACCTGTTGGCCCTGCTTAACGCCGACAGGATGCTCCAAACCATTGCACACTTTCCACAGCATCGCAAAATCATCCTGCAGGTCCATACTTTTATTTTTTACATCTGATTTCCAAAACAACATTTACCATAAGAAATGACCCTTAAAGAGCAGGGGTTCCCAAACTTTTCAGCCCGCGACCCCCAAAATAACTGCCAGAGACTGGCGACCCCCCGCCACGTGAATTTTATTCTAATAGTAATACAAATAACAGTGTTTCCCATACATAGAATATCACCTCCCATCTTCAGAGCAATCGGACTATTATAACATTAGCGTTAAGAAAGCTTACTTAAATATCTGCCACAACATAAGTAACCGGATCAACCGGTCCGCGGCACTGTGAGTGCAGACGTTGATGTGTCCCATTATCATTCATATCACATCATCATGTATCATATATCTCCTTATCTGAGTCAGCTTATTGAGCCATATCTGGCCGTGCAACACTCAGTGTCACATACTGTATGCATAAGCATTATTTTAAGAAACACATTAAGTTGACGAAACACTCGAGTCAAATGTAATTAAAGTCAGATCGTGTCTTAGACGGGGCAGTGATATCATAAACCTGTTAATGTACGCATTCAAACACTTTTTCTTTTACCAGCTGTATTCACCTTGCAGGTGCAGCTATGTGGCTTTATCCTGGAAGCGCAGCGTCATACTTCCTGAATGAAAAGTAAACTTTAATATTAGACAAATATGAAGACGTTAAACTTTAAACATCCATGACTTAAACACTTTATCCAGGATAAAGCCACATAGCTGCACCTGCAAGGTGAATACAGCTGGTAAAAGAAAAAGTGTTTGAATGCGTACATTAACAGGTTTATGATATCACTGCCNTGCGCACGAGAGGCTGAGACCTTATGCTAACCAATTTTGATTTATTTTGTATGTTTTGGATGAAATAATATGACTGGTATAAAATAAAAATTAATTAAAACAAATCTTTTAATTTCTTTTGATAAAATATTTTTATATATTTATAATTCTGCAAATATTACGATAAAATCACAGCTATTTCGCGGCCCGGCAGTAACACCTCCGTGGACCGGGGGTTGGGGACCCCTGATTTAGATGTATTATTAAGGTATAAGTCAAATGAATGACTTAAAAATGTAGTTAAATCACATTAACACTGTCACTGTGATTGCCTACCACGACCATTCATTTCTGGTGGTTAGGGAGCTTTACCTGAGGTGTCTGCTGATGGTTAATGCCACAGACAGGAATTCAGTGATGAGGGGGAGTGGGAGACACTTTACTGAGCTCTTGGGTTTCTCCTCTGTAGATGAAGAGGTCTTGGCTTCATCCACCTGCTTCTCCTTCTGCCCGAGGTTAGTAAACCAGAGCACATGGAGCAAATCTATGATGGCACCAAGCAGCTGCTGGTCCAGATTCCTAAAGAACATACAGACATATGAAGAACATAAGCAGCTGGCTGGAGATTGTAGTAATATGAATGATTATGTCAAAATAAAGAGCCATAATTGGAATTCTCAAGCTTACTTTTTTTCAACCAACTGTATTATCCAGGTTAGCAGCCCAGAGCTCTTGGTGAGGTTATAAGCTGCTCTGGTCACACGGGCGGCCTGGCACAACACCCTGATTATCTGTGCCTAGTGGAAAGATACAGTTAAAATTAACTCATTTATTCCCTTATGAAGTTTCACAGAGTATCTGGATTGTACTGCTCTTGTGTTGCAGCAGTGTGTACCTGGGAGTGTTCATCACACAGGGGGCTGCTGCTGAAAGCTAAAAGGGTCTGAAAGATGCCTTGTTGTTCACACAGTTCATAGCTGTGTCCATCACTTATCCCTTCCTCCAGCACACTCAGGATCCACTCACGTTCCATCTTATGCTGCAGAAAAAAAGCAGACAGTCAGTCGAACTCTCAACGCTTCAAACAAACAGATAGCTAAGTTTAGAAAAAACATGAGCTTAGCAAAACAAACAAATGAAGGTTAAATGTTGTTGGCACAAGAAGAGTTTAGTTTATCAATCATTTATTTTGTCAAGGTAGAACCCTGTAAACATGAATGAGAAAACAAAGCAATAATGCAGCAAACACACACACGTATAATCCTAATTACCTCCAAGTCAAAGCCATAAAATAGCTTGAAGAACTCTGGGACTCTTCTGAAGTCCAAACTCTGATGGGACAGCAGGAACCTGTTCAAAACCACGTACATGTGGTCCTCTGGGAAATATGGAAAAACAACAAAAAGGTCAATGACTGGGAAAATAATGTTGTGAAGCAAGCAATACTAAAGCATATTCAGTATAAAGAAAGGTAAACAATAGGGTAATCAAAAATATGACAATTTAAACTTTTTTATAACACAGAGTTCCTTATCGGTTCAGTAAAAGTCATTTTTTTTAAAAGTCATGTTTTCAGGGATACACACCAGGTTTGAGCATCTGCTGAGCCACTTTGGCGATGTAGGTGGTCAAGACAAATGGGAGTCTTTGATTCTGCTGTCGGACCCCATTCCTCACTGTGTCCATCAGGTACAGCAACTGTTAAAAGAACAAGCTCATAAGTGTTTCTGGATTTTTTTTATCCACACATATAATATTTAAATACTCCAACCCTTTACCTGTCTCTTCTCTCTGAAGCGAGCACCCTCCAGGTGGTGGTAGAAGCAGCTAAGCACATGATACGCTGCCGCTCTCACTTTTGTGTCGTAGCTACTTAGAGCCATTACAGTTAGTCCCAGGGCATGACTGGATACAAACTTGAGGCAGTCAATCACACACTCTGTGAAACAGGAGAAAACGTAACAGTTATAAAGTGGTATTTACATTAGCTGATAAAGAGCTATGACAACAAACAGCAATGATATATATTCACCTGGCTGCAGAATGGTGCTGAACAGAGGCAAAAGAAAACGGGGATCATAGAAATTCCCAAGGTCCTCCACTGCATTGTTGTAGTACACCCGCTCCTTATCATCCTATAAAAGAGAAATATTTGTATACTCAAGGTTCATCCAAATTACAATAAATATATTTCTCATAAATCCCTTTTTTTTTTTATCTGCTAAAGTTTTTAAAATATTAGTGATGCTGAAATGAAGGACTACATTTTAAGCCATTTACTTTGTCATGTTTATGTCCTGCTGTCACAATAGGGAATAAGAGACTCACTTCAGTCTCACCTCAATTATTTCTCTGCTGTGAAAAAAAAGGTTTTAGCAGGATAAGATATTTAAAGTTTAATATTTATTTATTTTTAATTTTTGAAAAAGGTAGACAAAAATGTTGTGTACTAGACTAGACTTCTTCAATAACAATGTTCATATTGATTGTTGATGTAATACTCATTATGGCCGTTAGAGGCTTAAGTGAACCACTGCCCAACGTTTTACCAGATGAGATAAAAAATATCCATGCATGTACACAAATATTCACCAATTGAAAGAAAAAACAAGGTTTGTGTGGACATTGGCCGCTCTGGCCGAATGCTGTATTACAACAACAAATACTAAGACAAATAATCAATTTTTAACAGATGAAATAAGCTTATTTAGAAATATGTAGATACAAACAATTACTTATAAACTGAAGTTTTTATGGAATGGTTTTGAGCAGGAGTTCAAACAAAGCACAAGCACCATTCAGTTTAAAAGGATGTACAGAAATACTTTTTTGGAAAACTATGAGAATGAAGAGAGGTGATTGAAGATGAGAAATTATTGTATATGTATGTATACATGTAAATGTAAGTATGAATAATGATGAATAATGATTTAAAGGACAATCATTGATCAAGTAAGGGGTGGGAATTAATAAGCATTTGCTTCCTCCTGCTCCCTTTCGGACACATTTTTTTTGTTGAATATATAAATATTATCATGAATGTGGATAAACACTGTATTTTAACAATACAGTATTCTGTTTTTCACATTTGCTATTTTTTTTTAATCTGTTTGATTGAAATGAAATGAAAGAGAGAAATCCTTTTAAACTTAAAAAAATGTACTACACCTGAGGCCTGTACTACGAAGCTGGTTCAACCTAACCTGGATATGTTTGAGTTAGCCGGTTGGCCTAATCCAAAACATACGCGCTCTCGCTAAACTGTCCTACGACTATTTAATCTGACTTCGTATGATTAAAAGCAACACGATCTTCGACCCGACGCAGTCCCCCGTTGTTNACCAGTCATATTATTTCATCCAAAACATACAAAATAAATCAAAATTGGTTAGCATAAGGTCTCAGCCTCTCGTGCGCAGATAAAGTTACAGCTGGTGCGCCAATAGGAAGTGGAGCACACAGGAGACAACCGTTTAACTGTTATGTTTATGTGGGGAATGGCAGTGCATACATTATTTGAGATATATTTCAAACTCGGACTTCATTTTAAGGACATTGTGGCCAGGGGTGTAGAGCTATTTTTTAAATTTGTAAATGCTCCTTCACTTCATGAAATGGCTGCAGCATCAGGAGGCAGCCTCTGAGAAGTGCAGCACCAGCGCGTACACACCGCCTTCACTGTGTTCCCCTCCAGGCTGCTACGTTTCAACCACACACACCTACACAACACAACACACACACACACACACATCGAACGGCCCGATTATTCCCCCTATTACTCGTTGTGTGAAGGAAATGTCCGGTCACAAAGGCGCATGATGTGTGTGTGTATGTGCTCTGCTCAGCTCCGCTGTGTGTGTGTGTATGTTCGGTGTGTTTGTGTGTGTTCAGCAACGGCATTTGTTTTCAAATTACCATGAACAGTAATTTACACACATCTGGCCAACTCCATAGGTATGTGGGTGTTCCCAAAAGAAGTTAGTTTAATCTTAATCTCGATGTAGTGCTAAATGCTGTCGGAGTGCACCGGAACGAGCGTCCCGGTATGACGTTATTACTGCTGGCAAACAAGCCCAGGGGTCTCACTGACATTTCAGTTATATCAATATGTGTATGCTTTTTCTTCAGGCTGTTAAATACAATTAGCCTCTGTTGCCACCTGCTGGTGAGTAAATATTCAAATCAGTTAAAATTGACAACAGGTCCGCACATTTTTTTTAATGTATCTGCCGGTCCTTGGCACAATAAAGGTTGGGAACCCCTGATCTAAATGATATGATTGATGTTGACCATCTTTTGGCCAAGGATATCAGTGTTTGTTTGATCTCCTGTCAGGTCGCGTGTGAAGGCCGCTCAGCTCAACGTGTTCCTGCAGACCCTTTGCTCTGTACTGAAGCATCGTGGGACAGCTCTCAGTGTAAACCAACAGGCGGACTGGCTAACACTCCACCCACAGCCTCTCTCTTGTACCGAAGCCCTCACTTTGCTTCTCTGTTGGGCCTCCCTGTCCCGCAACGCAGCACTCCTTTCCCAAATACAAGCCTTGGCTGAAAAGCACAAATTAAAGGAATTACTGGGTAAGTGCCATTAAGTGTGTACAACTGACCTCATACAGAAACAGTTCTTAGACCTGCTAAAGCACATCATCAAAGAGAAATATTTAATCCACATTTAAACTCTCCAAGATGAATTTGACAGACTTATACATCGAATATGTGTTAACTATACAACCACATGTCATGTTCATGAAAAACTCATTCAAACCAGTGTTGCACTGTTTGCATTTGAGGGTTAATTTTCTTAATCATCAATGTTTTTCACAAGTTATTTATGTCTTCACTATTGCTCAAACAGACTGATCTGTAAGCAAATGGCGAGTCTTGGTTTGCAGTCGATTCCATTCTGTTATAATGATGTTCTGCTGCTCATATGCGGCATATAAGCATACAAATGAAACAACATAGAGCACAAAAAGCTGAAATCAATTCCAAAAAATGACGCTGAAAATGTCATATTTGGCCTTTTAGAATCTACAATGGAGCCAAACTCATGTTAGAAAGTGTGTACCGTAACATCACCGATCTGTGGCTGTTATTTAGCTGACTGTGTCTCTTTTCTTTAGGGATATTAATAGAAATAAGGCTTTAAAAACTATCAATTTGTTACATGTGAGGACAAATGCTAGACTGTGTCATAGTTTTTCCATTACAAACTGTGATTAATTTATAGCTTTGTTCCGCTTCACGGTATCTAAATCATTGCTTGTATCTTTAATGGCAATAACACGGTTTTGTTCATCTTCCTCCTCAGGGATGGGGAAGGATAAGGCCAGAGGCAGAGGCTCCTCTTCCCAAGCCCGTGCCAGAAAAGAGAACCTGGTAGAAGATGCTGAGACTGAGAAACAGGAAGCGAGTCTGCTGACTGAGTGTACATCCTACCTCAGCAGTATCTTTGTCCACTGGGAGCCGGCGTACCCCCTCCCTGAACCCCAGCCGGCTCAGCCAAGAGAAAAACTGGACCCCAGTCAGTTGGCCAGTGACACTGCACACCTGCTCACCAAGTGGTCCCTGAGGTGTTTAGTCGAGGACTCGTATGATGAAACCAGAACAAAAGAGTTCTTGCATTGGATCGAAAAGGCTGTGATAAAACAAGGAGAAGGCATGCAGTTTGTGTTACTCGATGTTGGCATGAAAGCAGACGTCCTTCGACTCTACCATCAGGCCTTCGAAGCTCAGTGTTCCTCCAGCCTTTCAGCAAAAGTAGATGTCCTCCAGCTATTTAGCAACATAATGATTTGCTTGCTAGAGAGCCAAGGCAATCTTCCAGAGCTGCATCAGGCAGTCGTCTCTGCCTGCCTGCCAGAAGCGACACATGATGAGTCTCGACGTGGTAGGTTCCCTTATTCACAGACTAAATGTTTACATTTCAAACCACCTATAACAAAACTTTGCCTCTTTTTACATGAGTCCCATCACAGTTTATCAAAATGTTATACATATCCAGATGCAAATTGTTTATATTTTATTCAAATAACATTAAAGAAAACCTTTACTTTTAATTTGACAGGGGGCATGAGTGGTTCAAGTCAGTGTTTCATTTTGTTGATGTAACATTTATTGTAGTAAACACACAACTGGCAATTTTCTATCAGTGTGTCTGACTCCAAACAATGAATTAAGCCTCTTGTTTTCTCCCGTTCCAGAAGCAGGGTTGTTTCTGTTGTCGTCGTACGTCCATGAGTTGTGGCGAGGAGCCACGTCAGCAGAGCTGTTTCTGTCTCATGTCAGTTTGGTGACCAGAGCTAAGTGTAACGGACAGAAAGCATCCAAATCATCTCTGAGTCAAACAGCCATCAGAGCCGTCTGTCATGACATCACCACCCTGAAGAGTTAAACATCTGACCACTACTCTTCTCTAAAATAGACTTCGTTACATTACATTCTTGTAAAAAGACTGAAGATATTTTGTAAAACCTCCTGTTATAAAATGTTGATTTACACTTCTGTGAATGTTTTTTTTATTGACATGGTTCCTGTATGAACTAAATATTTGAAACATGTTGTGTGTAAGTGTGTCTTTAGGGCCAGGTTAGCAAATACACACAGTGAAGGCTAAAGCATGGAACAATATTTACATAACATTGTACTAAATGGTAACATCGCCTTGTACTCAGTAAGTATTCATTGAAATGGAAAGAAAGCAGGACCCGTTGCTACTCTGTCTAAAAACGTATTTTCCTGCAACATAATCTTCACAGTTTTCCTCCTGGTTATTGTTTTGTGTCCATCACACCTCATTGTAAACAGCTAACATTTATAAAATGTACTCTCATTCAAATAAAGTCCTGGGTCAAGCAGTTGATGTCCTGTGATTTCCTCTGATGTTGGATCTGTGTCTCCTGCAACAATAATAATTATAACGTTTTAAGGTATGTATAGCTATATTTTTTTGTGTGTCTATTTCAACGTATCAGTAAACCAACGTACCTTTGAAGGTTTCCACTGCGGGACATTAGATTCAAACTGAGGAAGAGGAATCCCATAAAAACAGCCAGAATGCTCCAAAATATTATAACAATTGAGTCTGAAAGGGATAAGGAAAGTTCTCATTATTTTCATTAAAACCAGAAGAAGACAAAAAATGCAATAACTCATAAAGACTTACACTTGTTGTATTCCAGCTTGCCCTCATCCACGATCAAAGGATCAATGTAATCGTAATAGTATTCCCATTCAAAGGGAGCAGCGGTGGTTGAGTTGTCCATTACAGCCATCGGTTAATTTTTTGAGTGGAATAATTCTGTTCTATTCCAAAATGTTGACACTGAAAACTGATAACCATTTAACTATGCTAAAATGTTGTTTCTAACAACTAGAAAGTCGGTCTGCAATTCATCAAGCCTGGAAAATCCCTGCTTTCCTCACCTGCATTATGTCCATCTGTCTGCTCAGCTTCAGTTGTGTTTCATCTAGTCAGTTCTGTAGACTTATTTTTATTCCAGAAGCATGCAGTTGACAGGTTTATCCACATGAGTCCACCATAGGGTCATTCAATAGCAGGCAAGAAAACAACTCGGTCACAATGTAGATAATCACAATTCCTACTATGGTGTCCCAATGTCCTGTTGCATTGCTCGGCAACATTTGTATAGAACATATATAATTAGTACTTGGTTATCTTTACTTTTATGTCAAATGTGTTGGATATTTGGCTTTAGAATTTAAAAGTCATGGTATTTAAAACTCCGGAACACTAGGGGGCGTCAGTCTTGGTTTACTGCAGATGGAAGTGTTATCATGATCATCATCCGTCTACATTTCCGGTCCTATTGATGAGGGTCCGATCATTGTTTTTCACGAGTCCGTATAGATACAGTAATGTTCTCAAAAATGACATAGAAAGTAACTTATTCTATACAAAAGTACAGCATGGAAGCCGCCGATGTGTTCCTCCCGGTTATCGCCTGGTGCAGAACGAGGCAGTCCCAGGACAGCCAGGCCGAGGCTCGGCGACAGAAGCGCCGCCTGAAGCTGCTCGCAGTTCAGCGGCTGCGCCTCAAGAAGCTCCGCGAAACATGGAGGCTGAGAGAGAAAGTCTACAAACAGAGTAAACTGCGTCGCCTCTGTTCTCATGACACATGGATGAAAGCGGTAAGAGCTGGGAAAATTTGTACTCACTCTAGTCTTATCCTTAACTTTGCCATATTAGTTAAACCTATCCTAGACTTCCATGATGTATTTGGACTTTAAACAATCTAGTCTGGTTCACTCGGGGACCATCAAACATACAGTTGTGTTTTATCTGGAGAATGTTTTTAATTAGCCTGTCTTGAATAGATTTGAGTGTTTTTTTATTTTTGTCAAACCAATATAGTTATTAAAAGTTAGCCGATTCCATGATTCCAGATATATTCAGCATTGTATTACTAAACTAGACATGGACAAATATATTTGTATTACATGCTGGTCAATTTTATTTTTTATAGGAATAATTTTTCATTAAAAGAAATGTGCCCCACTTGCCCAGTGTGGCAGGTTAATACTAGTGTTTATTATTTTGGGGTCACATGACAAAAATAATGTATTCATCTATTTTCAATAAAAATATAAAAAGTCCATAAACAAAAAAAAAGAGCAAGTGAGCTAACAGTCCTCTCCGAAGTAATTTCCCCATGGTTCGGTGAGTCTCTGTATTATAATAGAACAGGTCCTTCACCATAATGATAAAATGTCAGAAAATGCAAGTATATTTTTGTGAGCAAGAAATGCAAGGCAAGTTTATTTATGTGGCTATTTAAACAAGCCAATTGAAAGTGCTTTATTAAACACATTAAAGATATCACCATTGTAAAAGGACATTTAGCAAATACACAGTCGTTGAAGAGCTAAGAGAATATGAAAAACATAATAAGACGGGTATACATTTAATTATTTAGTCGTTTCTCTTGTTACTACTTTTAATAATGAATTGCCCATCCATAGTTTATAGGAAAACATGCTATGCAGTGTATTCAGGGCCACACTGTGTGCTTTCAGTTATTTCCTGTCCTCACTTCCAGTGTTAAACACTTGCTTGTCTTCCCATTCCAACCAGATAACACATCAGTTCTTGAGGGATCACAGACGAAAAAGACCCAAAGTGTGGCTTCACCCTCGGACCAGCGACTGGTGGGAGAACACAGCAGCTACTTTCACAGATCAAGAGTGGCTGCAGCATTTTAGAGTATCGAGAGAGACCTTCTCCTACCTCTGCGCGACGTTAAATCCAAAGTTGAGGAGGCAGGACACCAATTATCGCCTCTGCATCCCCTTAGAGAAGAGAGTGGCGTTGACTCTCTATAAATTGGCCCACCCCTGTGACTACAGAACTGTGGCAGATCTCTTTGCTGTGGGGGTGGCGTCTGTTTGCCACTGTGTGCATGAGTTTTGCACAGTGGTCATTGAAGTGCTTAAACCGCAGCTTGTTGTGACGCCCAACAAATTTCAACTTGACAACATTGAAGAATGTTTCCATCACACATATCAGATTCCTCAGTGTATTGGAGTACTTGACAGCATGAACATCACCATCAGCAGACCGCCACATCTCAACTCTGAGAAACCTGATGGAGACAGTTATCTTGCTATCTTATTTCAAGCAGTTGTTGATGACAAAGGCCTGTTCTGGGACCTGAGCATGAGCTGCCCAACGTGGGTGAATGATAACAGTGGAGAGTTATTGGTATGTGAGGATTTCTCCACCAGGATGCACAATGTCTGTAGAACTGACAGTAGCTGTGTTGTTATTGGTGATGCTGGATATCCTTCTAAAAACTGGCTTCTCAAACCAAGCACCAATGTAAGCTGGCTGACTGCAGAGCAAGAGCTGCTTAACACTCAGATTATTGCAGCGCGCAGTGTGGCCCATTATGCTTTTGAGAGGCTGAAGGGTAGGTGGAGGTGCCTGAGCAGACGAAATGACTGCAATGTGGAGATTGTCAAGGACATGGTAGAGACATGTTGTGTGCTTCATAATCTCTGCGAGAAAAACAACGATATGTGCCTTCCAGACTGGATCGGTCAAGAGCCACTTCAGACTGTTGATGAAAACCCTCAAAAGAATAGTGAGTCATTCGATGATTTGCTGCAGCTGATACAGGACAGTGCAGAATAATCTCCTCACATTTGACTACCCACCCTTACATCAACAAAGGTGGCCATCATTTTCCATGCATATCTGAGTTGTTGGATATGTCTTTATTTCAGTCAATTAAAGACAACTTTTTATTGACTGTTAACTTTGTATACCTTTGCCAGAGAGAGATTGTATAAACCACAAATAAATGTCTTCATACATATATTTTGCTGAGTGCCTTTATTTACAGTATGCTGCAGTGTTTTTTTCTCCAAGTTACGAAACGATTTAGAAAAATAAACTAAAATCTTACAAAAAAAATAAGCATTTCACTTGTACCTATACTCATTGGAATTCCACTGAAATATTTTGCCAACACATCAAAAAAACGATACAATGAGCTATATGACGTGCACAATTCTCAGTGGTAAAACTCTAAACAAAAATAGTTCTAGGCTGTTGGGTTGTACATTGATTGACTCATTTAATACATTCACTTAAATACAAGCTTTTAATAATAAGTCAAATACCATTGGTCCATTGCTATCCTGGCAACAAAAATCAATAATTCACAAGAAAAGGCATATGACATTACAAAGCAGCAGGGTCCTTTGAAATAATCTTTGCAATTTGCATTAGGCAAGAGGTCAGCAGCTTACTGTCTTTACTTCGAGCCTCCATCTCCTCGCGCCTCAGTGTCTCCTCTCTTTCTGCTTCCTCTCGACGTAGAGCCAGCTCCTGCTGCATCTCCTCACGCCTCAGCTGAGCTTCCCTCTCCCACTCCTCCCTCCTCTGCTCCTGCTCCATCTCCAGCCACTGCCTGTGGCACTCTGTCATAGCACTGAGAAACTCTTTTGTAGAGTCACTGTCAGCCTTCCGTTTCTGAGCAACTGCAAGAACAGAGAACCTGTCAATCATCTGCGTTGTTCAAATGCTTTTTTAATAAAAAACGTTTCCCATTACTTATAGCAGGCTATCATATGTTATGGTCCAATATCCATGTGAACCTGATTCAGATAATGAATTAGCCTTATATTAATTTCAATTAATAGGTTTCAATGGAATCTAGGGGTGTTTTCGTGTTTCTTTTTACATAAAGCATTACAGTGGAAAAAAAGTTTCGACAGCAATTCTCAACTTTGATATACATTTGGAGGGAGCCTAACTGAAACACCAGGGGACAGGACTACTGTTTGACTTACCTGATCTGACTCTTCTTTTAAAGGTAGAGGACCAGCCGCTCTCTGTAGTGTGGGATTTGACTGTTAAGAACAAAGGCCATTGGTTAAATCAATAGTTACATTTGACACTGATCAGTAGTGCCAGAGAAATTGTGTTAAATGTTAACTCTCTCGGTTGCTTGCATATAATATTTGAAGGCTTGAAGCACCGTGCTAGAGTATAAGCCCTGCTTTGTACATACACATAATTGGACCTGCAGCAGTTTTATACATTTAATTAAGGAGACATAAGGTAAAAAGGTATGTAAATTGAGGATTCCCTATTCTTTTTTTGTTAGTATATTTATCTGAAGTCGCAGACCATACATTTCATCTGAGAAAACAAGCCATTGTCCAAAGGTGAAGTTACCTTCTGCTTCTGGCTCCCAAGGAGCAATAAGGCCTATGGGAGTTTCACTGGTCCCCAGCTCACCCTCTGACCCACCTCGTCTTCCGAGCACACTATCCATTAATTTGAAAAAAGGGAAAGGTTTTCGTCCATTGATCTTAGATGTCTTATACATATGTCTCATCTTTTTGAGTTTTTCCCTCACTTGGGTGGTTGTGCGCTGGATACCTAACTTTGCCAACTCTTCTACCATGAACTGACTGACTTCTTCCTTGAGACATGCGCCCTCCATTTGTTGCTGCACATCTTCGTCAGCCCATATGTTTAGCAAGGCTTTTGTTTCACTCATTGACCAATACTGGCGGCTAGTGGACATTGTGAGGGGGCCTTCCTTTTAAGCACCGAACGAAGTCCACCGATAGTTCTCCCGTTCTTGCGCTCTTCTGGATCGGTACCGGTTTTTCTTTTCAGCTCCCGTTTTGTTCACACCACCCAGAGCCCGAGTTGTGTTGCGTCATGACGTAACCGTTTACGTGCCTGCTTCATTAGCCAACCGCGCGGAAACCCGGTAGCTGTAGTAGGTCAACTTTAGCTATTATTGCCAGGTCTGTCGATAGCTACATGGTTTAGTTTGTTTTAAAACTAAAAGTCACAAATAAAACAAATCTGTAATGCATAACTCACCAGCATCAGATGAGCTCCGCACATTCTTCGTCTCGTCCAACACAATCGACTCGAGAGACAGCGAGTTAACTGTGGATCCAAAACCACTCGTCGGTCTGTCTCCGAGGACAGAGTCTAGCAAGTCATAATGTGGACTTGTTTTCGGACGACCGCTGCCACTAGTCCGTCCGATGTCTCGCTTTTGGTCCCAATAATCCTTCTTAACTTTTTTCAGTTTGTTGCAAATCTGTTCCACGGTACGGTCATAACCAGCGGTTGCCATCTCTCGCTGCAAATGCTGAAACATTGCTTTGGACCGCGTGCTCCCCTCAAGCTTCCTCTGTACCTCTTGGGAAGACCATATTCCCAGTAGGTAGCTGGTCTCTTCAGTGGACCACTGCTGCTTGTTAAGTTTGGGGTTTTCCATCGTTGTGTACAAAATGGACAAAACGTGGGCTTGTTGTTGTTCAGGAGGTTGTTCCGGCTCCGCTGCGGTGTGAACAGGAAAAACCGGTGCTTATCCAAACTAGGATAAACACGCAGACAGGCTGCTTTCAATGTTCCTCGGTAATCTTGTAAAAGTTTCGATTGAAGAATGACAACTTTGTGTCGGCGATTACATTCGAATGAAATCAATCCTCAAATAACAAATACCCCTTATTTATTAAAACGGACATTTACATTTGTTTATTATTGTTTGATCATTTCGGTTGATTCAATGTGTCTCGATCATAGACTGTATATATAAAGGTCTCGACATAAATTATCATACATTTTTCAGTTCCTATGATAATAAATCCCGTGTCCACTGTCTGTAATAATCTGTGTCCCTCCCTCATTAAAAGAAACCCATCTAAAGCACATCATTCCCACTGCCGTCACAGTAGAAAAAGTGTCAAGTGAAATTATTCAGTCAACTAAATAGGAGACGCCAATTTTCCGATTATCCTGAAGGCAGCATTATTACCTCGTGACATCTTACGCTGAAGGACGCAAGGGGTGGAACCGCGAAGCTAGTAGCAACTCTTAGCATAGCCGATCTTAGACTAGCTATGTGAGCGCATTACAACCAAAATACAGCATTTCAACGTCGTTCTTTATGTTGTTAGATAACGTTGTATAACCACACTTGGTTATGATTGGGTAGAGCAACAAAATACAAACGTTCGTCAACTGGTTTTAATTATATCGGATCGTCATGGATGCAGTGAACGCGTTCAACATGGAGGTACAGTTTGCTCGTGTTATAGCCCAGTCCATAGAGCTAAAGACGAAGGCTAACGCAAACAAATGTTTGGCTAAACGTCAACCCTGGCTTATTTGTCAGACTACTAATTTTATAGAAACCTTAATTAACCTAAGCAACTGATTTGTTCAATGTTGGCTGGTCAGTTAAAGCGTAGCGTCAAACATGGCTTGATTGGATTTGTTAGCTGCTAGCTTAAATCGAGTTCAACGCTAGTACGTTAATCTAGAAGGCCTATGATTGTAGTGTCTATCTTAATGTTAACGTGCGACGCCAATACATTGTCAGGATGTATTTGTGGTTAGGAAAGAAGCTATATCGAGAAGCATATCAACTGATATCAATACGTGTTATACTATGGTTGCCACGCTAGGACTCTGGACTGTGGCCTTGTTGTGTTATTTGAATGTGTGGGTCGTTAGGTAGAGGGAGATACGGTCAGCTGTCATATTAACCTGACGGCTGCTTTAAAAACGTATTGTGATGCTCTAGACACAAACCTACGTACAATTTAGAGTACACACCGATGTGTTGTCAGACTGGTTTTAACAACTAACATTCATATCATATTTTTGACACATTCTTGAAGAAGCTTAGGTATTTTTTATTTCAGAGCTACGGTAATGTCGAAAATTGGCAAAATCATTTGTAGTGTATGTTAATAAGCAATAGCTAAACAATTCAGGATGTCTATGAATTACTCTCACAAATATACGTCCTCTCTTTTTGATCACATTCTATTTAATATCATTATATAATCTAAGTTGTTAAGTTTTCCCAAATGTAAAAACACAAATCGTGTTATTGTTCTGCATGCAAGACATATTGCTAAAACCCAGTGTTTTTTTTAGAGTGCAACAATCTGTTTTACTTTTATGTCAGGTATTCTGGATATGTAGGTTTATGAAAACAAAGATTGTCTTGGCACCTGGAAAAATCGTGTTTCAGCGATTTACTTTTTCAATTATATTCCGAGTTTGCTGTTGCAAAATGTTCTTTTATCAACTTGTGATATATAGTTGCAATTTACAGTAGTTTAGTGGTGTCTATGTTACCTGTAGCGTGACATTATCTTTTCCAATGTTTTTTGTAACACAATTTTTTTTATTTGAAAAATTTAAATTAATACATGTTATTATTTTGTTTAAATCCAATCAGCTGTTTTCCATGATTGACATGAAGCCTCCAATATCCCGTGCAAAGATGATGTCTGTAACAAAATCAGCCATCAAAGCCATCAAGGTAAAGTGAAATACTGCATAACTGTTGGAATCAACTTATGTTGTCACACATTTGCAGTTAATAACCGACAGATGAGAAGTTTCCTTGTTCGTGCTACATATTTGTATCTTTCTTTATTATCTTTCCATTTTTCTCAAGGCTTACTTGATTATAGTTGAAACAGTTTGAAAGCTTCCTTCTCCAAGGTATAATATTTGAGTGAGTGCATAAAGTAAAACAAAGATATTTGGAGAAGCCCTTACTTTCTTGCAATCCCAATTTTTGAATTGTCCCTTTTTGGGACGTGATGTTTCCAAAGACATCCATAAACCCAACTTTAGATTCAAGATTTAAGGCTTTATTGTCATGCACAGCAGCTACAGTGTAGATATGGCAAAGAAAAACTTAAGTCCCAGCCGGCTCCTCCAACATGCCAACACTGAATATATACTATATAATCTATATATAATATACATATATATATAGAACCTCCCTCCAGAAAAAGGGGAAAAATCCTCTGATTATGGCGGGCTAAATCCCTTCGATTATGCGATTAAACATGCGGGTTTTTATGTGATTTTTAGCGGTGAATTGCGGGAAGCATTGTGAATTGCGAAAGTTGCCAAAAGAATAGATTTTTTTTAAAATATTGGGCTGTCTTATTTATTCTCTCTCACACACAACCTGCCACTAACGTTAAACCCCTTTCCTATTCAATTAAACACATTCAATGTTTATTTATTGTAAAAGCAATTGGGCTATTTTAATCACTCTCTCTCACACCCCCCCCACACACACACACACACTTCTCCGCCTCATTCTGTTTTCATTTACTCGTTCTTTATCTGACCAGCTTCAATCTTGTAGGCTACTCACTTCGTTTCTTGTAGCCCTCGAAAGGGTTTTGGAGGTTGATGCCTCGGTGAACGTGAGTTGTTTGGCTTTGTCCGCAGCAGCAGAAAGCATTTTTTGAATGTTTGAATGAATCAAAGTGGGTCGTCACCGTCGATCATCTCTAGGACTTATGCTTCAACACACGGGGTGCAGAATAGTTTCCCCCAACTTTCGTGAAAGACATCGGGGTACTGCTTTGCCTGGTCTTTAGCAGAAATGTTCGTCGGTAAATGAGATGGATCAGATTTTTTCATCTTGGTGTTTTCTCTCTCGTGTGAGTTCCACACGTTCACTCTACGGTGTTGTTTACCTTCTGTGATGCGCGAGCTGATGACGTCACGTCATCATCACTAATTCACGTCAAGACGAGTTAACTTTTTTTTTTCTCAACTTTGTGTGGAAAAATGCGGGGATTATGCGCCCTTTTAATAAATATGCGCCCTTTTAAAAATCTGCGCCATTTTGCTGATTATGCGGTAAATTATGCGATTGCATAATCACGTTTTTCTGGAGGGTCTATATCTAAGACATATAACAGATAAAACAAAAAAAACAGTGCAAATGAATGTTGCAAGATCTGCAAGTGAATACAAATAAAATAGAAATAGTGCAAGAAGAGTCCATACACGCGTAAATGGAATATGATATATAGATAAATAAATAGCAAGATGCAAACTGATTAATTCTTTATGGAGGCACTTTACAGAGCTCCAGAGTTTAATAGGCTTATGGCCTGTGGAATGAAACTGTCTCTGAGTCGGGTGGTTATTGTCCTGATGCTGCGGTATGTACCCCCTGCCAGACAGCGGCAGACCGGTGAAATGTGATGTTTATTTGGTCAATTTAGGCAACTAATTTGGTATCAATGTACATGATTTAATCACAATGTGATTCTATTTAAAGAAGATCAAATATTATATTGAATTTTTGGCCAGCCCTTATTTTAACATTGCCATTTTCATCCGTCTATTGTCATACTTTTTGAAGTAGTCTCTAATATACTGTGTCTGATGTTTTTTCTTCTCTTTTAATAGCTTTACAAACATGTTGTCCAGATTGTTGAAAAGTTCATCAAGAAGGTATGTATCACAGTGCTTCTTACTGTGAATTATATTGAACATTTACAAATCAACTGCACTTTACACTTGCCATTTGTCATGAGACAAAATGAATGAAATGTTTTTGTTTGTGTGTTTCCAATAGTGCAAGCCAGAATTAAAAGTCCCTGGCTTGTACGTGGTGGATTCCATTGTTCGACAGTCGCGTCATCAGTTTGGAGTTGAGAAGGATGTGTTTGGACCCAGATTCTTGAAGAACTTCACAGATACCTTCCTAAACCTTTACCACTGCTCAGAAGATGATAAGGTACTTCATGGTTGTGCTCGGTATTTTATACAATAACATGTGAAATGGAAATTTGTCACGTGTGTGATTGCTTTTTTTCTCTTCATCAGACCAAAATTCTTCGCGTACTGAACCTGTGGGAGAAGAATGGTGTGTTCGACATGGACATCATTCAGCCTCTGATGGATATGTGCAATGAAACCATTGTTCCTGCCCCTACATTACAAGGTAGAGAAAAGCACATGATTATCTTTTTGGCAATTTGGAATGTTTATAAAAACAATGTACTGAAAACAAGTGAAGTTGTAGTCCACTGTTTGATGAACTGCATGCAATATCACGAAAATGTGTCAATCTTTTTCTTGGAACTTGACAGTTGCCGCTCACCCCCAACCAGAGACACACCTTCCCGTCACTAGTGCCTCAGTTGTGTCTGCTGTGCCTCAGCTAACCACTCCTGATGCCTTAGCTGCTGTGGCCCAGTTATTTCAGTCCCCCCATGGTCTAGAGGTAAGCATACGTCAGTTTAAGTGCTCAGTCAGTTCTGCATAATGAGAAGTACAGCATTGTTTGAAATTGGAATGTCTTGTCTCCCCCCTTCTTCCAGCTGCAGAGGATGCTTCAGAACTTCCAGCAGGCAGATAAGACCCGGGAAGCGTCCATCACAAACACCTTACCAAACCCAGCACAGCCCATGCCAGTGGCCCAGCTCAACCCGTACAATGAACACACTGAAAATAGGAACTCTTTAGCTGAGGTAAAAGCATTGCTCAGTGTCACATCATAACCAGCTGTTGTCTTTTACATTTACCTAACTGTAATGTAAATTTTTCCTCAGAAACTCCTGGACAGATTTGACTATGACGATGAACCTGAGGATATGATCGCCAAAGAAGACAGTGCCCAGACGCAGTGAGTTTCTGGATTTATGCCTCCGGTGAAAATTGTTATTAGCATCTGGTTAGCTAGCTATGCTAACACATTTAAAGAGCGTTTTCTACAACCAGGTGGAAAAGAGCTCTCTCCTGACAGACTGAGAGGCTCAAATAACCTCAGCTCAGTGATGTTAAGGCACACCTTGATATGATCATTATAGTTATAAAAAAACAAGAGCCTAAATGAAAAAGCAGGTATAAAATACTATATGACATTAACAAAAAAGTTAAAAATAACAAGAATACAGTTTAAAAGAAGAGTGATTTGTAAAATATCCAAAAATAAAAATCTGCTTACAATATCATATGGGTGTTGAGAGATGTATCCATAGATCTCTTCCTTTTGCTCTCAAAGTGCACCAGATTGATGCTTTTAACTTCAATATTTAAAAAAGCTGAAATGATGTCCACATGGATTGGATACTGAATACATTTTGTGTCCATATCTTTCTGTTTTGGAGGTCATGCCACAACTGTGCACATGCATGCATGCGAGAGTCATGTTATGATATCTCGATTAAGAGGTTGCTTTTTCTTTGCACAGCATGAAAGAAAGGCAAAATGAATGGGCTGTGATTTTAGTTTTTTTAAGCAGAGGTTGAGTTCAATAATTTGCACGGCCCTCGGAGTATGTTGTAAAAATTGAAGTGGCCCTTGAGAGGAAAAAGGTTCCCCACTCCTGCTGTAAATAATAATAAAAACCCTTTATTTATAACTTAACATCTCCGTCTCCTATTGATCTGAGTATATTATAAAGAATAGCCAGTTAATTGAAGCATTATAGCACATGCCTTTGTCAGATGGTATATTACGCTGTTTTTTTTCCTGCTTCGAATAGTTCTCTCTTTTTTCACCATAGGTGTGTTTGCATCCCTGCCTATGCTTTTCTTACTTGTCAAAATATATGCCTTGAATAAAGCCTAGATTTATTATTGTTAAGGTGACATTTATTTTTTTAAATCTTTACAGCTTTGTAGGTCTTTCATACCCAAACTCACAATTTGTATATATTTTGTCATTACAGAGGTATCCCTGGACATGTGTTTAACCATTTTCCTGGCCAGATTCCCAACACAGATACTGTTCATCCACATATGACGGGACAGATCGGTGGTGTAGAGGTAACCAAGTACAAGTGCTTTTATATAATTACTCAACTCACTTTTCAATTTAGCAAAGCTCGCAAACCAGCATGTGCCCACAATTATGATGCCTGTTAAACAATTTGTCCAATGTGGTGTCAGCCAAACGATAAGATAATGATGAGGTGAGAGAGTAATTGTGTAGAACTGCCTTAGCTTAGAGTTTACTGTATTCAATGATTCTGTGGTATCTGTTTTTTTCAACTATCTTTTGCGGCTGTCTCTTTGTCATCCCTCAGCACGGTGGAGGGTTGAGTCATGATGAACATCATATGATGATCGATGGATACCGTTCCATAAATGAGGGTTATTCACAAACAAGGGTAAATCTTCACACCTTGTTTAGTTCAACCTGATTTAATGCTCTCCTTAGTGCCATTGTTGGCTCACATTTGAATTGGAGACCCGTGGTGGTGTACACATTTAATTGTGATGTCATCATTGTCTTAAAGGGAAGTTCAAGAGAAGACTCATCTATGAGACGGGAGGGCAGACACAGAGGCTATGGCAGGAGATCAAGATCCAGATCTGGCTCAAGGTAAGAGGCTGTGTTCATAGCAAATAATCAGTGTCATCATTGTTTATCTTTAGGGCTGTGCATCTTCACTGGACTCACTCTTCGATTACGATTGTCCTGTCCACGATTCGATATCACGATGCATAACAATGCGTTGCATCCATTTTCTGTATTATGGCTTATTTTTCATCAATGAATACATGCAGTAAATACATATGAACTCCCTTTTTATTATGTAGAAACTGCTTCGGAAATCAATAACATAAATGTCTTGATATTACATTATAAACCAATATTTGTATAGCTTTAGCCTCCCTATATCTGTGTGAAATTGTTCCATCCTCAAAAACAAAAAACGAATGCTTCTGCAGTCTAGCTGCAGCTTCTAGCAACGGTCTTCTATTAAAAAAAGGACACCAAATGTCTTGAATGTGGCATCACACACATGACTTAAGTCTGAATACAGCAGATAACAGGCGTATTTACAACAGAATATAAAAACAGAAATAGTGCATGTGGGTGCGACTTACATTCTCTGTCTTACTGATACATTAATCCTATGAATGTATGAGATTAAGTGAGCTTCATCATATCTTATCATATCTCAAATCAGAGATCAACATTTGTTTAACCTCTTCTACACCGCACCCCCATATCGGGGGGGGGAGAAACGCGTCATCTGCAGGAAACAGCGTCTGAGGGCATCTTAATATTCAATAAACTATGAATGTTTTATATCCATGTAACGGGAAGAAACTCAGCTAACTGATCTTTTTTTTTTTTTTAAACCCCACAAAGCTAGTGCTGAGCCTATGATATAGCCACAAGCTAAAAATGCCAACGCCGTGTTGCACAGAAACTCACTCGTAACACCCTTATTACTTATCGTAGCAGCACGTCATACCCATCGATCTGATCGTGAGATAATAATAATACATTACATTTATAAAGCGCTTTTCCTGGTGCTCAAAGCGCTTACAAGCAAGTAAAACAAAATAACGACAAAAGAAGAAAGTGCTAAGCTAGGAGGAATAAGGGCAAGGGGATAATTGATTAGGAGTTGAAGGCAAGAGTGAAAAGGTGAGTTTTGAGGGATTGTTTGAATGATGTGAGAGTGTTGGCGGATCTGACGTGGCTGGGGAGGGAGTTCCAGAGTGTGGGGGAGGCTGCTGCAAAGGCCCTGTCACCCCAGGTCCGGAGCTTTGTCCTGATGGGCCGCAGTAGGTTAGCTTCAGCAGACCTGAGGCGACGGGTGGGGGTGTGTCGTTGGATGAGGTCACAGAGGTAGGGGGGGGCAAGGTTGTTGAGGGCTTTGAAAGATGACACAGAATCGATGGGTACATACATCATCACTCCATGATAAGAACTCGCGAAGCTATTAACGAGAACAGACATCAAAACATGTTGCTCTAAGTAGCTAAAATCGGCAACATGGCTCACCTTGGTCGTTGTCTGGTCAAAAGTGGTCTTCAATGGCAATAAGGCGATAAAAACGCTGCTGAAGTTAATCCAATGTGTCTGTGTCCCTTTGAAATGATTTCTTATAATCCATAAGCAATAAACCTGCTTTTCCGTTTCCAGATGTCAGAGCGAGAGATAGGTTCACTCTGATGCAAACCTGCATGCGCAAAGCCCCCACCTTCTTTTGTTTATCATGTATGTGTATGGGGAAATTTCCCTTCGATTCTATTGGCTCTAACGGTCAAAAAGAGATGTCAATCACCAAAATCAACCAATAGAGTGGCAAAGTCCCTCCCCTTCCGGTGGACCTCCGTGGGACCTTATTTCGGAAAAATTAAAGTCAATGGAGAGAGAAAGATTATCTTTCGATCCCGTTTGAATTGTGCCAAGAATTACACATATGATTGTCAATTTAAAAGATAATTTTGCAAGTCAAAAAAAAAAAATGGTGTCGTAAAACTGTGAAGTAACACATTTGTTTGTGTGAAACGCTGAATGAACTACATCTCCGGTCTAGCAGAACAACACACGTCAACAAGATGGCCGTCACTACTGTCTTGTCAACAAAAGGATTAACTACCCTCACTATCACCACAATGAAACACGTCCAGAAGAATGTCATGTAAAGCTGCCTGCCTGGCTTCCTTTGATTCTCTCTGAACGGCCTGGTCTTTTTAATGTTTAATGTCAACCATTTGTGCAGATAGCGTGAAGTAGAAAAGATCGCAGATGCTAGTGTAGCGTTAGCATTTCTCTCCCGGGTTTAAATTGTGTATTATAGAATGATCACACCGGTGTGACAGTACTCTTCAAAGGGTTTACGAAATATGACTACTACTCTTACTGTTTAACATGTTGGGTTACTTAATGTTACTTCATGTTAAGGCTAATAAAAATGAAAAGGCTGTAATGCTAACTAACGTGCTAGCTACTAGCTAGGTGGCTAACTTGATCCAGCCACTCCTGGTCCTTTCATCAGACGGGCTGCGAAAGAATGAGCAAGAACCATTGCTGGTATGATAACAACCTGGTACTAAGCACACAGGCATCTTGTTAAAGTTATCTTATCTTAGCCAGCTGATCTTAGCTATCTCTTAGTGGAGTAAAACAGTTATGACATCACTTACGTGACTCTGGGATTTGTAGTCTTTTTAGTTGCGTATTTTTCATAGTCTTATATTTCAACAGTTTTACGACAAACTGACTTTTTGACATGGAAATTATTTTTTAAGATTGACAAACATCATATCTGTAATTCATGGGACAATTCAAACGGGATCAAAAGATACGTTTTCTCTCTTCATTGCCTAATTTTTCCGAAATAAGGTCCCATGGACCGGAAGTAGATGGGCGTGACTTCGCCACTCTATGGGTTCCAGAGAAACGGTAAAAACGGCCATTTCCACCCAAATCACCTCAGATGTGGAGTTTTTTTTTGCTAAACCTCTCTAAAAAGGTCACATGTCACTTGTTTGCATCAATCTTGATACAGGGTACTTATTATAG